TTCAAAGTGGTTAGGATAGATATATAGTTACATTCTCTTAATGAATAGAGCGATTTGTTCTAATGGTGTTTGTAAATAGGATATCAAGTCTGCATCTTGTACAGCAATTAACCACTAGGAAGAATGTATGCAATATGTTAATTATTGAAACTGTCTTACCAATTTGGTTTGAAACTGTCTCATTGCTATTTGTTTCTCAAAATTATGGAAAAAAATCAGTATTCACTTTCAAAAAAAATGGTATGGTATTCATATGTCACTTATGCAATCCTCCTGTGTACATTAAATCACCTCTGCATTACTTATGCTGCTCAATATAATGCAAGTGCTGTACATGTAGTGGTTACATTGTGTTGTGGGAACGGTGACATGAAAATAAAGTCTGTATTGTTCAGTGCAAAATAAAATAAAATAAGACACATCTCCTTAGTTTTGTCAGTCAACGAATCTTCACCAAAGAAATTTCCAGATGCCAAGCAGGCATTTATGCTGCTGAACTATATCCCCTGTCCTTCTAATTATTTTTTATTCTCTTTAAAAAATTTAAAAAAATGAATTGGAAACACACACACACACACACACACACACACACACACACACACAGCCAAAATATAGAAAGACCTGAGAGGTCAAGCAACAGATCTACGGGTAAAACAAATACATGTATTCATTATGGAATATTATTCAGCCTTTTTAAAGAGAAGGGGTCTGAGACAGGGCAGCGGGAAGATATTGGTCAATGCACAGAACCTCATTTATGGGAGTTGAGGAAGTCTTGAGGGATGCTGTACAGAACAGGGTTGCAGTGAACGCCACTACACTGCAAGCCTGAATTCTGGTGAAGAGTAGGTGTGTTTTTCTTGTTATTGGTGAGGATTGAACTCAGGCCTCCCACACGATAGACACTCACTCTAGCATTGAACAATATCCCCAGATGGTGTACAGGTCTTAAGTCTCTACACACACACACACACACACACACACACACAATAGCAATTATGTAAAGGTGACAGATACATTGATTAGCTAGGCTGGATTGTGATAATCATTTTGCAATTTATATATGGATCAAAACATCAAATTATGCATCTTCGATAATATATGAATACACTGGCTTTGTCATTGATAGACCAATGAAGTTTTTTTTTAATGAAGTTCATCTAAAGAGAGAGAGAGAAAAAAAGATTCCCAAAGCTTGCTCAAGAAACAAAAGATCCAAAGACAATCGCTGAAATTGTGAGTGTAGAGGGGGCAAATGTTTCATTGCTTAGAGGGGCAGTAAGAGGATAGA